CCTGTGGAACTGTGAGTCAATTAAACCTCTTTCCTTACTAAATTACCCAGTCTCGGGTATGTCTTTATTAGCAGCATAAGTACAGACTAATACAATCCATTTTCATCCAACTGGCCCTGGACCCAGAGCTGCTGAGGCACTAAAGCATGATACAACTGTCAAGTGATTTAGGCCGACTCGATATACTCAACTTGCTTTTCTGCTTTCACCATCATCAATGTGGGGGGTTGTTTCTGTTCTGATTACTGGATTGTACTTTTTGGTAACTTTTGCAAGTTTAAAGAAAAAGCAATTGTCTTTGGCCCTACGTAACTTCTGGCGTATTTAATGGCAGAGGCTCTTAGTTCCTTCTTCTCTCCCCAACGTCTCACTAGAGCTCAGCTCCTACCTCTTTTGAGTATCTCCTGGGGTTACTCAGAAGCCTGGAGTGGGCCCTTGCCCTCTGTTCCGCTGCTCAGCAGCTGACCCTCTTGCTGTGTTGGGGATCAAACTTTCTCTCCCATGGCAAAGTGTGGGAGGTAGAACCCGGGAGAGGGGAGGCGCCTACCACATTCCCAAGGCAGCCTGGAGCACAGAGTTGGGGAAAGTAGGGAAAGTAGGAAACCTAGAGTCTACCAAGAGGCCACAGATCCTCACCCTGGGGCTGCCCATCCACAAAGCTGGGAAGGTGGCGGTTTTTGGGAGGCCACTTGCCAGCCAGGGCCTGTGGAGCTGCAGCTGATAGGCAGCCTTGTGGGGGTCGGAGGACCTGGAATCAGCTCACTGATGAGGGTGTGGGTGAGGGTGTGGGATTGCAGAGCAGAGGACTACCGAGGGGCTGAAAGAGGGCTTTAAGGGACTCTGTCACCTGGGGGGAAAGGCTCCTGCCCTCAGCTCTTGGGTGTCAGTAGCTGTCAGGCTTTTCTGCTGGGATGTAGGAGGGGGGCGGGGGCTGGGGCTTCTGGGGCCCAAGGGAGGACATGGGGCTCACTGCTGTGGATGGTTCCACGCAGAGACTCAGAAGCACCTCTGCCTTCAGGGGGAATGCGAGGCCGGTGTTGCCTCGCACTCCCAGTGTTGCCGAACACTGGGAACCCAGTGTTGCCGAAGCTCCTGTTCCTCCTTCCCTTGTCCTGTCAGAAGAGGCTCCACTGCAGGAGCTACGGCCAGGTAGTACCTGCTGTCCAAGTGACGCCTCCCTGCCTTTCTCCGCAGATGCCACCGACTCTTCAGGTTCCCTTCTACCCCTTTTCTCTCCCCCTGCCCCTAGTGCCTCTTTCTCTCTCTCAGGATCAGCTAAGCATGTGTCCCACACGGCTGTCTCAGGTTCTACCCACAGGGCTGCACTGGCTTGAGGGGCAGAAGGATCTCAGGGCTCAGAAGAGCTCAGCCCCGGCCTGGGCTGGTCAACTCCCCTCCCCAGCCCACCGTGTGCTCCCCACTAGGCTGTGCTCTCCCTCCTGTAGCCAGCCTTGCTGGGCTCCCTTCTAGCGGGGACCTTTTCTGCATGAATCCTATCACCACCTGTCGTTCACCTTCACCAGCTCTGTGTTTGCAGGACCACCTTGTGGACACCGGCCTGTTTCCTGAGAAGCTGAGGAATGGTGTGCTGGAGTGCAGCAGAGACAAGGAGGCCATAACTCTGGCTGGCACAGCCCATCGGGGAGCAGCCCACCCTGTGTCCTCCAGGAGACCTCCCTGTGATATTGACTCAGGACTCCGCCTCTGTCCTCACTGTGCCAGGCACTCCCCCTCAACCCAAGTCCTCTGTCTCTGGACCAAGTAGAGCTGTCTCAGTACAGGGGTGAGCCGGCGGGCAGGCCAGGGGCTTTCCTGGACCATCAACAAGCTATTCTAGAGTTGATGTGCTCATAATTTTTGTTCTCAGGACCCCTTTACATTCTTAAAAAAAGTAGGACCCTGAAGAGCTTTTGCTTATGTGGGTTATATCTATCCATAACCATCACATTATAAATTAAAATAGAGAATTTTAAAAATATTTATTTAAAAATAACACTAATTGATGAACCCATTTTATGTGAACATACATAAAATTTTTATGCAATATTATTGTTTTCCATATAAGAAGAAAATATTTAGTGAGAATGGCAGTGCTTTACAGTTTTCGAAAATATCTTTAATGTCTGTTGTAATAGACAGCTGGAGTCTCTTATCTGCTTCTTCACTCCATTTGTTGCAATATCACATGTCATGTGGCTCCTGGAAAATTCCACTACACTCTTGAGAGAGTGAGAGTAAAAAATATAAGTAACTTATTTTTTGTTTGTTTGTTTGAGAGAGGGTCTCACTCCTGTTGCCCAAGCTGGAGTGCTGTGGTGAGAAGTGGTAAGAACACCATTCACTGCAGCCTTGACCTCCCAGGCTCAGGTGATTCTCCATCTCAGCTTCTCGAGTAGCTGGGACTACATGTGTGCACCACCAAGCCCAGCTAATTTTTTGTTTTGTTTTGTTTTTATTTTTTTGAGATGGAGTCTTTCTCTGTCACCTAGGCTGGAGTGCAGTGGTACGATCTCGGCTCACCGCAATCTTTGCCTCCGGGGTTCAAGTGATTCTCCTGCCTCAGCCTCCTGAGTAGCTGGAACTAGAGATGCCCACCACCATGTCCAGCGAATTGTTCTGTATTTTTGGTAGAGATGGGGTTTCACCTATTGCCCAGGCTGGGCTCAAACTCCTGACCTCAAGCGATCTGCCCTCCTCAGCCTCCCAAAGTGTTGGGATTACAGGCGTGAGCCACCATGCCCACCTTGTTTTGTTTTTTTGAGACAGAGTCTCGCTCTGTCACCCAGGCTAGAGTGCAGTGGTGTGATCTTGGCTCACTGCAACCTCTGCCTCCTGGGTTCAAGCGATTCTCATGCCTCAGCCTCCCAGTAGCTGGGATTACAGCTGCCACATCTGGCCAATTTTTCTATTTTTAGTAGAGACAGGGTTTTGCCACGTTGCCCAGGCTGGTTTTGAACTCCTGGGTTCAAGAGATCCACTCGCCTCCGCCTTCCAAAGTGCTGGATTACAGGTGCGAGCCACCGTGTGTGGCCTAAAAATATAAAACTATCAAAGTAGTTTTGGCCACTTAGACCACCTTAAGGGCCTCAGAGACTCCCACGGTTCCTAGACCGTACTTTGAATACCTCTGAGCTGGAGCAGGAGTTAGCAAACTTCTATTAAGGGCCAGAAAGTAAATATTTTAGGTTTTTCAATCTCTAGTGCAGCTATTTGACTCTGCAATGCTATCAGAAAGGCAGCCATAAATAACATGTAAATACTTGGATGTGGATGTGTTCCAATAAAACTTTATTTACAAAAATACATGGGGGGCTGGGTTTGGCCTACTGGCCATAGTTTGCCTACCTTGATCTAGAATAGAATAAGCATTTAGGGGCCCTGGGTTTAGAGCTCATGCCACAAAAGGGAGAGGACAGTGCCACCTGACTCACCCTAGCCAGGCTCCTCCCAGAGGAAGAGAAAAAGAATCTCAGAGAAGGTTAGATCCTCTACTTCTCCAGTTCCCAATTTGGAAAAATCCAGTGTCCACTGTATTACTTAGAAATCACCGGGCCAGGTCTGCTTCTCCCACAGCCCCATCTTTTTTTTTTTTTTTTTTGGAGACGGAGTCTTGCTCTGTCGCCCAGGCTGGGGTGCAGTGGCTGGATCTCAGCTCACTGCAAGCTCCGCCTTCAGGGTTTACACCATTCTCCTGCCTCAGCCTCCCGTGTAGCTGGGACTACAGGCGCCCGCCACCTCGCCCGGCTAGTTTTTTTTTTTGTATTTTTTAGTGGAGATGGGGTTTCACCGTGTTAGCCAGGATGGTCTCGATCTCCTGACCTTGTGATCTGCCCGTCTTGGCCTCCCAAAGTGCTGGGATTACAGGCTTGAGCCACCGCGCCCGGCCTTTTTTTTTTTTTTTTAGATGGAGTTTCACTCTTGTCACCCAGGCTGGAGTGCAATGGCATGATCTCAGCTCAATGCAACCTCCACCTCCTGGGATCAAGCAATTCTCCTGCCTCAGCCTCCCGAGCAGCTGGGATTATAGGTATGTGCCACCATGCCCAGCTAATTTCATATTTTTAGTAGAGACATATTTCCGTGCCCAGCTAATTTCATATTTTTAGTAGAGACAGGGTTTCACCACGTTGGTCAGGCTGGTCTTGAACTCGTGACCTCAGATGATCTGCCCCCTTGGCCTCCCAAAGTGCTGGGATTACAGGCATCAGCCACCACACCCAGCCCCAAAGCCCCATCGAAGCCTCCACCCTGCCATCCTGTTCCTCAGAAAGCACATGCTCTGTGGAGGGAGCCAGCAGGGAAGTCTTGTTCCCCACCTCTACCTCCATCCCAATCCCAAGTCCTGGGGATGGGGCAGGTGGTACAGGAAGACCAAGTGGGCCAGGCCAGTCCCCTGTGGAGCAGCTGAGCCTCCAACTCCTGAGCCAGGCCACCCTAGTGTCATTTGTCATCCATACTCAAATGTTTTCATCCATATTTTCTTTTACTTCTTTTTTTTGTTTTCTTTTTTTTTCCTAGATGGAGTCTTTCTCTTCACCCAGGCTGGAGTGCAGTGGCGCGATCTTGGCTCACTGCAATCTGCCTCCCGGGTTCAAGCAATTCTCCTGCCTCAGCCTCCCAAGTAGCTAGGATTACAGGTGTCCACCATGACATCTGGCAAATTTTTGTATTTTTATAGTAGAGAAGGGTTTTCATCATGTTGGCGAGGCTGGTCTCGAACTCCTGACCTCATGATCTGCCCGCCTTGGCCTCCCAAAGTGCTGGGATTACAGGCATGAGCCACCGAACTGGGCCGTGTTTTTCTTTCTCACTGCAGAGACAAAGGGGCTACTCCTGGTTCTGGTTCATTGGCGAATCCAAGTCCTGACATGTCTCAAGGGCATTACTGTGCTTGTCAGGGAGGGAGAGCCCAGTCCATCCTCTGGTTATTCCCATCCATCCCCTTGGCTCACCCTGCCCCCTTCCAGGCCTCTTTGCTTGCTGGCCTGACGGGGCTGAGTCTCCGTGGCTGGAGGAGATGGCCTCTGCCCCGCCCCCCACGACTGTCCTGGGCACAAATGAGAACAGCTTTGCCTGGAAAGGGCCCAAGACAGCCTGAGACACTTGTTGTGATGGTACCCGCCTCCTGCGGCCCTCCACCTGCGTCAGCCCTCCTGTGCCCTCCTTGTCTCCACCAAGGCCATGCAGTCACTCCAGAGGGCTCTAATGTTACTAAGCAAAGGCCTGAGTCTGAGCAGCGCAGGGTGGGGCAAGCTCCAACCCAAAGTCTACTCTATCATCAAGGGAAGTTCTATGCTATCCGGAGAACCCCGACACACACCCCAAGCCAATTTCCCTTCATCTCCAGGACAACAGTGTGCCACCAACTGAGGAGGAAATGTATCTGCTTCTCTTCCTACCACCCCTGTGAACTCAACCAGGAAGATACTGCTGTTTGGCTTTAAAAATAGTACATTCTAGCTGGACTTTTATGGTCTTGTGAAGAACACTGTGCTCATGCCCTCCCACACCTGGCCTCTGCCCCTGCCTGGCCCTGTCCAGCTGCCCACATCAGCTCTGCACAAGTTTTCCAGGGTCCCTCTGCAGAGACTTGGTTCAAGGCAGATTTATGAGTTCAGCCTTGGCCGAGGCCTTCCCATGGCTCCCGGCCACATTCCAGCTGTTCTCCCACATCCCAGGCAGCTCGGGGCTGGGATGTTCTGTGTCTCTTTTTCTATCTCTACCACAACTGGCTCAGTTGCACCCCCAGCCCTATTTCAGCTCTGCCCTGGCCAGCCCTATGGAGGTACAGGGTCCTGTCATGCCAGAACCCAGACCCCAACTATTCCCAGCCTGCCTAGAGCTCACTTACATTCATGATGACAACAATGGTGTGTGTCTAAGGATAACCTTGTTGGGACTCTAGTTGGTCATGCCCATTCCCTCTCACTCTGAAGGGCTGATATTTAACCGAAAGGTAATTTGTTCCCTGTCTGGACTTCAGGTACCAGGTTTGAGGCTATATCTGATCTGGAAAATTATTTTCAGTGTGTGTAGATTCTATGATTAGTTCTCAAGTTATTTCTTTAGGGCCAGAGATGATGCCTGCAATCCCAGCACTTTAGGAGGCTGAGGTGGGAGGATCACTTGAGGCCAGGGGTTCAAGGACAGCCTAGGCAACATATCAAGACCCCATCTCTACATAAAAAGAAGAAGAAAAGAGTGGAAGAGTGCAGGAGCCAAGAGAGAGAGAAAATGTAGTGGTGAGGGGCAGCTTCTGGAGAGGCCCATACTACAGATACTACAGAGGCAGGTATCCTGAATTCCTCACTATCTCTCTAACATCAGGTAAGCATCTCATGATGCAGTTAGAAAGCACATTCCCTTCTTCAGTTTTCTTCTGGCTGTGTGACCCAGCCCAGATCTGTTTACACTTGCAGCTACCAAGAGCCTATCTGGTCACCTGGCTTTCCCATCAGCACCTGGGGCTGGTGCCATCCCAGGCCCCTCCCTCTGCACCTGTCTTCGTTATCTGCAGAGGGTTTGTAGAAACCTTAGGGGAAGAAAGTTAGGGTGGTTCCCTAGCTCAACTTTGAGCCCAATTATACCTTTTTCTCTCCCACTTCCCAGTAGCTGTCACAGAAGAGCCATGGGGAAGTCCCCTCTTGGGGACCAAGAAGGAGGCTCTCCATCCTATGCCCCTCTGGGTACTGTCCGTCACAGAAGTGCTACTGCTTTTCTTGGTCTGCATGCTGGAACTTGGGAGCTGAGTCTGAATCAAGTCTGATGGCTGAGAATCAGAGTGAAGACAGGTAGGGGCTGGTAGAAAATCCAGGTCCCTAAGCATGAATCACAGTCTAGGAGAAAAGGCAAGTGTGATAATTATTTGTCACCAAGAGCTGGTGAGAGTGGTGTGGCAGAAAAGAGAGCATCTGCCTCTCCAGGGACTTGGGATCCCACCTCTACGTCTCTTGTTCTTTGGCTGGGGGTGCTTGCTGTGGTGGAGTCAAGATCAGAGTACCCCAGGCCTCCAGCATAGAGACGAGATCGCATCGGCCACTTCTGCAAGACACAGATTGAGAAGTGAGAAATGCTGCTCTTGCAGCCCGTCATAGTCCAGGATCCTTGACACCCAAAACCCAGCCTTCTCCAGCATCCCTCCCTGATACCTTCCCCAGCCATCACTGCTCTGATCAGGGTCATCCTCATGTACAGCCCCACACATTTTCCTGATCACCCAGAGCCTGGATGAGAGACACAGGAGGAGCCATCTGAGGAGGGAGAGGGCCCCAAAATAGCAGCCCTCTGTTGGGAGGGAGGTGAACAGAAGATCAGGTGGCCTGGGCAGAGCTGGCAACAGCCAGAGGCTGGGCAATGGGCAGAGCAGCAGAGCCAGGAAAAACTCCAAGCCGGGCCCTCCAAGGATTGCCCATCTTTCCAGCAGAAGCATGAGCAGTCCCAGAATGCACCAGGTTGACTGCCCTGAGGTCGCCCTCCTCTTCACAACCTCTCCACCTGGGGGCTGAGGGAGCTGCTTCCTGGCCAACTGCTCCACCCTGTGGATGTGCTGGAGTGCTGGACCTAACCAGGCCCTCCTTGGTTCATCCTTCAGCTTAGCTGTTGATCACCTACTACAAGCAAGGGCCTTGCCTTGGTCACTATTTTACAGCTAAGGAAGCTACTATACCACGCCAGGACCCTGCACCACCACTGACATTTCAGAGTTCCCCCACTTAGTCTCAAATTCGCACATTTTAGCTATATTTACAATGAAGAAAAAAAATCAAGTTTCAAGACATTTCAGAACTATGACATTTAGGGGAAAGAGATGGTGAAAAGTATCATAAAAATAAAGTTGAGAGGTGAGAGGATCACTTGAGCTTAGAGTTTGAGACCAGCCTGTGGAACAAAGTGAGACACCGTCTCTACAAAAAAAAAAAAAAAAAAAAAAAAGGCGGCCAGGTGTGGTGGCATGCGCTTGTAGTCCCAGCTACTGGGGAAGCTGAGGTGGGAGGATTCCTTGAGCCCAGGAGTTTGAGGTTACAGTAAGCTATGATTACACTACTGCACTCTAGCATGGGTGACAGTGAGACCCTGTCCCAAAAATAAGTAAGTAAATAAATAAATAGCCGGGTGCGGTGGCTCACACCTGTAATCCCAGCACTTTGGGAGGCTGAAGTGGGTGGATCACCTGAGGTCGGGAGTTTGAGACCAACCTGGGAACCATGGTGAAATGCTGTCTCTACTGAAAATACAAAAATTAGCCAGATGTGGTGGTGCATGCCTATAATCCCACCTACTCAGGAGGCTGAGGCAGGAGAATCACTTGAACCGGGAGGCAGAGGTTGCAGTAAGCCGAGATTGCACCACTGCACTCCAGCCTTAGCAACAGAGTGAAACTCTGTCTCAAAAAGATAATAGTAAATAAATAAATAAATAAGTTGATACCACTGCAATGTTATCCTCAGAGGGCAAAGATGACCCTTCCTTTTTAACACAGTGCACTCTTCACCTCCTTATGGCGCTGTCCCTGGAGTCTGTTTAGTGGCTATGAGCATGGGGTCTGAAGTCAGACACCCCTGGTTCAAACAGTGTTCAGCCTCATAACCTCCCTAAGCTTCAGTTTCCTCATCTGTAAAGTAATCCTCATTTGGCTTTTGCATGGATTAAAAGACAAAAATACACTAACGTACTTAACCCAGCTCCTGGCCTATCTTTAGCACTCAACTGTTAGCTGTTATTGCAAAGATGATTAATGTTCATTAGACTTTCCATTTTGTACCTTGGAAGAGAAGTAAGGCTCATGTTAGCTTCTATTTTATGTGTAATAAAACTGAGGTTGAGAAAAGCTAGGTTGCAGTCTGGCAAGCGGTGCACACCTTCCCTGGACTGCTCCCTGCTAACTCCCGCAGCTTGGTTCCTTCTAGAATGATGGTCTCTCAGACCATTGTTCTCCTGGAGGGCAGATCTCTCCTGCAACAGAAGCCCAGAAAGCACCAAGGCAGGCACAATGGGGTGAAACTGCATGGGGATCTAGGACTCTCCTTGGTACAATTTCCTTTCCTAGGACCCAGACTTGGAACCTGCTCTTTTTTTCCCCATGACTCTAAGAACCCCAGAGTCTTTCCCTCCTCTTCAAGGAGCTACATTCCCATGAAGTCATTTCCAGCCACCACCCCATGAGAAACCCAGGGTCAGTGCAGCCCCAAGGGCCAGCCTTGGCTCCTCTCTCTCTGAGACAGCAGAAGAAATTGGCCCCGATGTCAGTTCTGCGCAAGGCAGGGAGCCCAAGGCCAAAGTCCCCCTCATTCCAATCCCTTTCTCCAAGGCCCTGGGCATTAAGATCCGCCTCTCAAGTCCCAGGGCTTGTGACCTACCTTGAGAGGGTGCAAGTAGCGGAGTCCACGCAGGAAGGGTGGCCAGGCGGGGCCAGGCAACTCATGGCCGAGCGTGCGGGTGAGGTGGGCTATGTAGCTGGCGGCGAGCACCAGCACGTCCAACTTGGAGAGCTTGGTGTCGGGCGGCACGGCAGGCAGAGCAGCCTGCAAGGCCAAGAAGGCCTGGCGCAGCGTCCTGACCCGGCTCCGCTCCCGCGCGGCGTTCTCAGGACAGGCCTCGCTCTGCACAAAGGGCCCCAGTGAGTGTGTGTGACTTGGACTCCCAACTGCCCTGACTTCTGAGAGCATTTGAGCGCAAGGTCTCCTGCCAGAGTAGGAGGGTGTCTAACAGCAGGCGCCAGAGGGCCTCTGCCCTCCTTTGTCATCTTCAGCCCTGCCCTGTTTCACAGCTGAGGAAGTGGAGGGAAGGCCTGGGCAGGGGTCAGATGGCCGCAGGACGGCAGAGCTTGGCTCAGAACCCAGAGTCCTGTGTTCTCTCTACTACTACACTCATGCCTCCTCAGAGCCTTTGTCCTAAGCCCAATCTGAATCCTGCTTATCAGGGTGCGCTGGGGCCAGGGGCAGTTCAGAGACACACCCTGTTTGGGAGGGCTGACCCTTGACCTAGCCAGGTCCTGAGCCGACCAGGCTGCTGTGGGAAAGAGGAAAGACACAGAACCGGGCTCAAAGCACAAGGCTGAAGTCCCAGTCCTACCACTGGCTGCTGCTCAGTGACCTTGGGAAATGCACATCCCTCTTCCTGGCCTCAGTTTCCTCAAGAGAAGTGAGTGAGTGCAGCTCAGAGAGCTCTGATCTATCCCATCCACCCAAAGCATGACGCCTTGGAGTCTAAGGGGCCAGTGTCCCCTCTCTTGGGCAGGAACGGTAATACTGAGTGAGGCTCTGCCATCGGAGGTGGCATCTCCCCACCCTCCAACCCCTTCCTCCCCTGGACCCCTCTGCAAGTCCAGGATTTCCTTACCCTGCCAAGAGCCAGGCCCCCAGCCCTGGTCCCTCGAGGGCCAGGGGTAGCTCTGCTCCATCTCTGATTGCTCCAGCTTCTTTCTTCCCACGGGTCCTGCCTTGTCCTGCTGAGGCGGCTCCTCTTCCTGTCAGCGCCTGGCAGCAACCGTGCTTTGGCCTGAGTCTGGCTGTGGCCCACCCCTGGCATGGCAAGTGGCCCTCTGGCCTTCCTCTGTGACATGCCACCCCACTGGGTTATGGGGCTGCAGCCCACAGAGCAGAAACACAGTGCCTGAGGAGGCCCTGGACTCAAGCTAGCTGGCTTAGGCTGGTCATCCAGCCAGTAATGTCTACATCTGAGGAAGCAGGCGCCAACTCAGTCCTGTGTGCTCCCTGCTCTGGGAAAACCGCCCACCAGGCACAGCCCCCGAGAAAAGCCTCCGCCTGCCTCCCAACCCGGCTGAGAGGTGGGGGTGCTGGATGCTGGGAGTGGCCAAGCCTTGGGAGGAGGCCCATGCTGAAGGCGGCAGGAAGATAGTGGGGAAGGGAGCTCCTTTCCGGCCATGCCTAACCTCAACAGTAGTCCTATGGTGGACCTGTGACTTCAGCTTTGGAGCTCAGGTCCATGGAGAAGACTTGAACCTCCTTCCTCTGTGCCAGAAGGCTGCCTGCATACATCCCTGAAAGGCCTTTCCTCCCCTGCCAATGAACGTGACATTCCAGCCACAAGGTGCGATTTGCCATGCCCTAAATATGCCTCCGATTTCTACTGTGCGTTTACATTTACCTTTCCATGCCCCAGAACACCTTCCTCCAGCTCTACCAGGAGGTACTGCCCATCCTTCAGGTCTCCGCCTTTCATTCATGAAGACCTCTTCAAATCCCGCTGGCCCAGAGCGCATGGGTCCCTGTGTGATTGGTAGGACCACAGCCTGGCTAGTTTCCCAACAGTTCAATGTTCATAGATTACTGTGTGCCAGGCACTGTGCTAAGCATCTTATTTATTTATCAGAGCAACCTTTTAATAAAAAAAGAGACTCAGTTTAGATGTGTGGGAACTGAGATATTGGGAGGTGAAATAACTTGCCCAATGTCAAACATCTGTTAAGTGGTGGGGTGGGATGAAAACCCAAGCCGCCAGTTGGACTTGGAAGGCTACCCCTCACCTGATGCTAGCCTGCCTCCCATAGGTTACTCACATGTCTGTCCCTGTGCTAGACATGAGGTCTCTGAAGGCAAGGACCATGGCATTCCTGAGTTGCATCACATCCTCCAAGAGCTAGTTAGGAGAAAGTGGGCTGAAGGAATCGCGAATCTGCCACAGCAGCCCCTTCTGTCTTCCAAGGACCTCTGCCTGTAGCAGAATCCAGTCTGCAGGTCCCTTGTCCCCCATTCTTGAACCCCAGGGGAGATCAAATAAGTGAAGAGAAAGTAAAAAGGTGGATGTACAGTGAGAAAGATATGCAGCCCATCACAGAGAAAGGGAAAAAGAGGCCAGGCGTGGTGGCTCACGCCTATAATCCCAGCACTTTGGGAAGCGGAGGCAGGCAGATCATGAGGTCAAGAGATGGAGACCATCCTGGCCAACTTGATGAAATCCTGTCTTTACTAAAAATACAAAAAATTAGTTGGCTGTGGTGGTGTGTGCCTGTAGTCCCAGCTACTTGGGAGGCTGAGGCCAGAGAATTGCTTGAACCGGAGAGGCAGAGGTTGCAGTGAGCTGAGATCGCGCAACCACATTCTAGCCTGGGTGACAGAGCAAGACATCGAAAGAAAAGAGAAGAGAAGGGAAGAGAAGAGAAGAGAAGAGAAGAGAAAAAAGAAAGATCAGTAGAAACAACCTGCATGTCCATGAGTAGGGAAGTCATTAAATAAATTTTGGCATCTCCATACTATGAAATAATGTACAGGAATAAAAATAATGACAGACCTTTGTTAAATGACATGAAAAACTCTTCAAAACATATAGTTGTGAAAAAAGCTAGTTGTAGATCAATATATACAGTAAGATCCCAGCCGTGTAAAAAAAAATACACCAAAAAATAAAAAATAGAAATGTGAAGTTTTTTGTGCTTATGTGAACATATGAAAAAGGAGATGGAAAAGATGTGCATCAGGCCAGGTGCGGTGGCTCACACCCATAATTCCAGCACTTTGGGAGGCCAAGGCAGGTGGATCACCTGAGGTCAGGAGTTCAAAACTAGCTTGGCCAACATGGCGAAACCCTGTCTCTACTAAAAATACACAAATTAGCCAGGTGTGGTGGCAGGTGCCTATAATCCCAGTTACTCGGGATGCTGAGGCAGAAGAATTGCTTGAACCAGGGGGCGGAGATTGCAATGAACCGAGATCACGCCACTTCACTCCAGACTGGGCAGAAGAGCAAAACTCCATCTCAAAAAACAAACAAACAACAACAACAACAACAACAAAACCCAAAAATTATCCGGGCATGGTGATGCATGCGTGTACTCCCAGATACTCGGGAGGCTGAGGCAGGAATCACTTGAACCCAGGAGGTAGAGGTTGCAGTAGGCTGAGATCGTGCCACTGCACTTCAGCCTGGGTGACAAAGTGAGACTGTCTCAAAATAAAATAAAATAAAATAAAATAAAAGCAGTGCAGCTACCCCTTTGCTCCCTCTTGGATCGCTCACTCTGGGGGAAGCCAGCTGCTGTCGTGATGATATCCAAGCAGCCCTGTGGAGAGGCTCACATAGTGAGGAACTGAGGCCTCTCGCTGACAGCCACCACAACTTGCCACCCATGGGAGTGAGCCACCTTGGAAATGGATCCTTCAGCTCCAGTTTGACCTCCAGATGACTGCAGCCCTGGCTGTTGGTTTGAGTACAACCCATGAGAGACCCCGAGCCAAGAACACCCAGCTAAATTGTTCTCGCCCATAGAATTCCTGATTTATAGAAGCCATAGAAGATAATAAATGTTTATTGCTGTTTAAGTTTGGGGGTAATTTGGAAGTAGCTATAGATAACTAATGTAATATGTGTTACTGAAACCTGTGCATTGTTGTATGAATAAATTTTAAATTTACACAAATGATAATTGTATTAGCCAGGTGCAGGGGTGCATGCCTGTGATCCTAGCTTCTCAAGAGGTTGTTGGGGCAGAGGGGAAGATCATTTGAGCCCAGGAGTTCCAGGTTATAGTGAGCTATGATCGCGCCACTGCACTCCAGCCTGGGCAACAGAGATAGAATCTGACTCAAGCAATCCTCCCACCTATCTTAAAATTACAGGTTTCAAGCAATTAGGTAGAAAATCAATAAGGATATAGAAGACATGGGAAACATTATAAACCTACTAAACCTAACAGACATCAAATAACACTCAACAACACAATACTACACATTCTTCTAAATTGCACATGGAAGATTCTCCAGAATGGATCATATGTTAGAGTCTCCAGAATGGATCATAAAACAATCCTCAACGGGCGTGGTGGCTCATGCCTGTAATCCCAGCACTTTGGGAGGCCGAGGTGTGCAGATCACCTGAGGTTGGGAGTTCAAGACCAGCCTGACCAACATGGAGAAACCTCATCTCTACTAAAAATACAAAATTAACTGGGCGTGGTGGCACATGCCTTTAATCCTAGCTACTTGAGAGGCTGAGGCAGGAGAATCGCTTGTACCTGGGAGGCGGAGGTTGCAGTGAGCCGAGATAGCTCCATTGCACTCCAGCCTGGGCAACAAGAGTGAAACTCTATCTCAAAATAAAATAAAATAAATAAAACAAGCCTCAGTAGATTTAAAAGGACTGAAGTCATACAAAGAATATTCTCCAACCACAATAGAATTAAATTAGAAACCAATAACAGAACTAACTTTTGGAAATTTACAAATATACAGAAATTAAACAACACATCCTTAAATAATCAGTAGGTTAAAGAAGATAATTGCAAGGAAAATTAGAAAATACTTTGAGATGAATGTAAACAAAAACACAACATACCAAAATTATGAGATACAGCTAAAGCAGTGAAAAAGAAGGAAAATTTACAGCTGTAAATGCTTATATTTAAAAAAAAAAAAAAAAAAAAAAAAGGCCAGGCGCAGTGGCTCACGCCTGTAATCCCAGGATTTTGGGAGGCCGAGGCAGGCAGATCACCTGAGGTCAGGAGTTCGAGACCAGCCTGCCCAACATGGCAAAACCCCATCTCTACTAAAAATACAAAAAATTAGCTGGGTGTGGTGTCAGGCACCTGTAATCTCAGCTACTCGGGAGGCTGAGGCAAGAGAATCGCTTGCAATGAGCTGAGATTGCGCCACTGACAAGAGCGAAACTCTGTCTCAAAAAAAAAAAAAAAAAAGTTAGCTGGGTGTGGTGGTGCATGCCTGTAATCCCAGCTACTTTGGAGGCTGAGACAGAATGCTTGAATCCGGGAGGCGGAGGTTGCAGTGAGCCGAGATAGCGCTGTTGCATTCCAGTCTGGGCAACAAGAGCAAAACTCTGTCTCAGGAAAAAAAAAAAAGAAAAAGAAAAACAATAGAGAAAATTAGCAAAACCACAAATTGGTTCTTTGGAAAGATCAACAGAATTGATAAAACTTTAGCTAGATTGACAAGGAATAAAGGAGAGGGGACTTAAATAATTTTTTTTTTTTTTTTTTGGAGACAGAGCCTCATTCTGTCGCCCAGGCTGCAGTGCAGTGGCATGATCTTGGTTCACTGCAACCTCCGCCTCCCAGGTTCAGGCGATTCTCCTGCCTCAGCCTCCTGAGTAGCTGGGACTACAGGCGCACACCACCACGCCCAGCTAATTTTTGTATTTTTAGTAGAGATGGGGTTTCACCATATTGGCCAGGCCAGTCTTGACTCCTGACCTTGTGATCCGCCTGCCTCGGCCTCCTGAAGTGCTGGGATTACAGGCGTGAGCCACCCTGCCCGGCCTTAAATTATTAAAATAAGGAATTAAAGAGGGGAAATCCCTACTGACCATACATAAATGAAAAGGATTTCAAGGAAATACTATGATCAACAGTATAGGCCAACAGATAATTTACATGAAACAATTTCCTAGAGAGATATAAAGTACCAAAACTGACTCAAGAAGATATAAAAAATCTGAAAAGAAATAAAACAAGAAATCAAATTAGTAACTTTAAAACTCTCCACAAAGAAAAGCCCAGAACCAGATGGCTTCACTGATGAATTCCACCAAATATTGAAATAATAAAGAATTAATACCAACCCTTCACAAACTCTACCAACAAATAGGAGAGAACACTTTCAACTCATTCTATGATTGTTCCCTGAAAAAAACTGTGTATGTAAAGTGACCCTCAAATGCTGAAGGAGCCGAGAAGCCAAAGAAGGCAGACAAATCAAGTTTGTCAGTATAGGGTGATTAATTAGGAGGAACTTACAGATGGAAGCATGGTCTTGGGTGGCTGCAAGACAGGTAGATCTCTGAACCTCAACCCCCAAGACCCAGGGCTTATATCATGGGGAAAAATAGACACACAGTCTGGAAGGAATGTGTAGGTGGCTCAGAGAAGGCTGCAGGCATCACACCCTATGACAGATGCCACAGCATCAAGGGTTGTTTTGGAGAAAAGGCAAAATTTACAAAGAATAGGTGTTCCTACATAAAGAGTAATACATCAATTAGACATTTTGGAGTCATTCCCAGACTCAGGGTTAGTCAGAAGTTACATGACAGATTAGCATTTAAAATAAAGTCACTCTTGTCCCCACAATAATGTCAGTTTTACACCAAAATCAAAGACCTCACAAGAAAACTACAGACCAATATCCCTTATGAATATTTACACAAAAATACTAAACAAAACACTAACAAACAGAATCCAGCAACATATCGAAAGAACTATACACCATGTCTGAGTGGGATTTATACCAGGAATGCAGGGTTGGCTTAATACCCCAAAATCAACTAATTTATACACTATATTGCTAGAATAAAGGACAACAACTACATAATTATCTCAACAGACGCAGAA